GAAGGTTTAAGTGCAGTGATGAAATAAAAGTTCAAAGTTGGTTTGATTCTCTTGCAATGTTTGCCAAAATGTAAGCGGGTGTCTCCATTCCCAACTATTTTCCCCATTGCTTACATTTGAAAAAATAATATGAATAAAATCACATTTTTATTGAACAAACAGAATGTAAGAAATCGCAATTAATAATATAGTTTCTAAGTATAGCTTGTTTCGGATTGTCATCTCATCTAACTATTAAAGTTAAGGAATAGAGTGTGTTTGTGTGTGTTCACACAATCATATACCATAAAATGTAGATCGCTAGTGTCCGGTGATACTAACGTCCGTGATCGAGGTTCGGTTTGAAGGACATTACTACAAATAAAAGTCCAAAAATTTATGCATTAATGATAAGTGTTTTTTGAATATGAATCATCATAAACTCAGGTCTTCTATTGATGGTTGAAATAATTAGGTTTTGTTTACTTAAGTATTGATCGAACTATCTATTTAATTTCGAGTTTAACCTCATTTGTTAGGTATACAGGTTTTTTTACATTATACTTTAAAGAATAACAATAAGAAATTGTGATTAACTGTTTTTACTATAGTTTCTATTTGCACTTTATTCGAAATAAATTCAAAATGTGATTCAGATTAAAAAAATATGAAACCGTTCATTAACAATTCAAAAGATCGATTATATTCCATTGGACATACCTAGTTATTTTTATACACTACATGACGTTTGGTGAAGATGACGGCGATTAATGTTAGTACCCGGATGACCGAGCTTTGCTCGTTTTTTTTTTTAAGTTACATTTAGATACAAATTACATGAATAATATTTTTTGATCTTATTGACATAATAGAAAAAACTGAACTGGTTATTTGAATGAAAATCATGAGTGCAATTAGTTTAATTAAAATTTTTCTTATTTTTAAAAATTACTAAAAATTAGATTTTCTCACAAAAGAAGGGAATTTGAAAAAAAAGGAAAAAAAGTCGGACCCAAGACGGGACGCGAACCACGGAACTCCGATATCACGCCCGACCGACATCCCACCTGAGCTATTACGACCGTTACGCTATACGTCAAAATTTACCTTCTTAAATTGTAGCAGTTTTTTTATTGCCTAAAAACACGGACAAAAGGAAATTTAAAATCTAAAAATAATCAGCGATCGATTTATTGCCCCCCGAAACTCCCTGGACACTAAATTTTATGAAAATCGTTGGAGCCGTTTCCGAGATTCCGATTATATATATATATATATATATATATATATATATATATATATATATATATATACATATATATACGCTTTTAAGCTGTATATATATGTATACAGTTTCAATTCGTAATAGTTTCAATCGGAATCCAAAAACTTTAATCTGTAATATAAAAGCTCAGGAACTTCGGCCTCGGGTCTTAATAAATTTATTTTCGTCTATAATATTGGAAATTGTATCACCCCATGTCGTCTCGTAGGTGTCGTAAAAGGTTACTATGGGATATTCATCTGTTAGTATGGTATGGCCTCAAACTGTTAGAATGAATGTAATAAACATACATAAACACTCACGCCTGTCACCCAGAGGGGTAGGCAGAGACTACAGACTTCCATTTAGCACGATCCTGACATACCTTTCTCGCCTCTTCCACATCCATATACCTACACATACATGCTCGTCGGTTAAGGGTACTCTTAATTTAGCCCATTTTTAGTATATCGCCAATTTGGTCGACAAACTTCCGCCTAGGACGTCCCTTTCCGACTCTTCCATTCACTTCTGCAACATATGTTTGCTTTGTCAGTCTTTCCGCATTCATTCTTTCTACATGACCAAACCACCGAAGCATTCCTTTCTTAATCCTGGTCACCGCATCATCTTGCAAACCACACTCTTCTTTTATCACACAGTTTCTCACCCTGTCACTCAGATTCAGCCCTAACATACTCCTTAGCGACCGCATTTCTACTGCATTTATTCTACTCTAGTGCTTCTTCTGCCACACCCAACTTTCACTACCATACGTTAAAGTAGGGACTAATACAGCACTGTGAACTGCCATACGTGCCTTTTTTTTTAATGTAATGCGAATGTATAATGTGCTCTGCAAAATTAGTCTGTGGTTATTGATGTAAGAGTTCTCAGAATAATAACTAATGCATAAAAAGCTTAATAAAAGGTATTTGAAATGACCCGTCATTCCTTTCTTTATGTGAACCCACAGCTCTCAGCCAGAGAGTTTATAATAATCACTACCTTTGAGCTAAAAGCGAACAGACATTTTCCCACTAACTACTTTTAATAAACAATGAATCAACCTTTGATTTTCCTTGATCATACTTAAGTGTCCCATTGTTAAATTGTATTCAGCGTATTATGAGGCTAAAATATTTTAGTGCTAAAGTACACTAAAGGACTCATTTTATACCTACAGCAAAGAGGCACGGTGAAAAGTACGTCGAGTGGCCATATTCATTACACCCATAGCGACATGTGACAGTTTGAATACTTTTCTTTGTTTTGGGTGCTACGCGCAATCTGTTAATTAAGGTCAAGTTTAACTTTAGCCGTCAATTCAATCCTTTTTTTGTCAGAATACTAAAATCTTTTGACTTTCGAACTATTGCTAAGCGTTTTCATCCAATTCCTTCATTAATTACGTTAATTCAAAACTTTCTTACTTTAAAACACAACTATAACGCACCTTATCTAATGGCCTGTAAACCGCTGTAATGTAAGAGCCACCAAATTTCCTTCCATTTCCTTGCCTCACTGTCTCCCCTGAGGGGCTAGTTGGTCCCTACAATACATGCAAGCTGTCTTTCTGTATCATAACATTCATGCACCCTTGCGCACTTCCAGGATTATTCTACCAGAGTCGTTACGCATTTATGTTTCAACATCGAAAAGCATACTTGGTGTTTGGATTCATCCTCCCGAAAGAGTACTCGCCTTGTTGTGACGAGGGACTTAGTACACGTCACTTGGTCACGCAAAGTGAAACAAGGTGGTATTCCTTTTTTTTCTAATAACGAGAGATTTCATCTACTCGTTTTAGGAGATGAGAACGCAGTATTTTGTATTTTAGTCCTTAACAAAGGATAGTTTCTCTAAGGGTCACGGCATCCACTTACCATTTACAATTGCTGTTATAAAGAAATGTAATAAAAAGAACTCGCTCACCTCTTCTTATCATCATTGTAGCTATTGTAGCTAGCCCTGAACAAATGCAATAAGCTTAAAACGAATAAGGCTACAGATGCGTGCTCCGGGGATAATAATTGAAGCCCGAAGCCTTACGGCCTATAATTATACTGGCTCTCTATAGCCTTCATACTTATGGAACTATTGATTGAAAAATTGAACTGGAAAAATGTCTCAACGTAAAAAAAGGAATAGTAAACAAGCAAAATCGTGGAATATGATACATTTATTTAGATTTATGAAATGACTAATCTTTCTTATATCAAAGCTTGTAGTATCTTTTTGATTATTTGTAAATTATACGATATAAAAGAATATAATAAAAATTTAAAGTATGGTAGTGAAAGTTGGGTGTGGCAGAAGAAGCACGAGAGTAAAATGAACGCAGTAGAAATGCAGTCGTTAAGAAGTATGTTAGGGCTGAATCTGAATGACAGGGTGAGAAATTGTGTGATAAGAAAAGAGTGTGGTTTGCAAGATGATGTTGTGACCAGGATTAAGAAAGGAATGCTTCGGTGTTTGGTCATGTGGAAAGAATGAATGTGAAAAGAGTGACAAAGAAAATTTATGTTGCAGAAGTGAATGGCAGAGTCGGAAAGGGACGTCCTAGGCGAAAATTTATCGACCAAATTGGCGATTTATTGAAAACGGGCCAAATTAGAAGTACCCTTAACCGACGAGCGTGTATGCGTAGGTATATGGATGTGAAGGAGGCGAAAGAGGTTTGTCAGGATCGTGCCAAATGAAAGTCTGTAGTCAAATGTAGTCTCTGCCTACCCCTCTGGGTGACAGGCGTGAGTGTTTATATATGTATGTGTAAAAGAATATACAACGTTCTAGAAATTGCTATGAAGCTTGGCGCAATTTCAGACCTCAACTTCTTTATGGGTGAAGCAGAACGTCCTTTGTACCGTACTAGGTCCTTCCCCACATCTATGCTTTGTATGGAAAACGAATTATTTTATTCCTTTATTTAAAAATCTTCCAAGCTAGCAACAAACATAAATTTAACGATACTAAAAAAATTACTAATGTCGTTAATATAATGGATTTTCGCAAAGTAACACCTAAATCTATTAATTAACAAACATAAATGTATTTAAATTTCATATGACATTTTATTTCCGTTCAATAAACGGATAAAATTTATTATAAGTTATCAAAGAGACTATGAAAAACGTGTGGTCTTAACAGTTTCTCACTCAACCTTTTAACAACTTCAGTATGGCGTTTATCTGTTTTTATACAAATTTGCTCTTCAAGTATTGTTTATAATCTACATTGAATAAAAGAGTTTCTATTTCTATTTATATTTCTTCTTTTCGACAATAGACATACCGAGGTAGTTAAGATTACACTTTCCGGAATATTTTTTGAGATATTTGTAGACTATAATAAGGAATTTAATAGTTTTCTCTATTATGCTTTTATAGCAGAGGAAGCTCATGCGATAAACGCTGCCCGTAAAATTTCCTTCCATAAAAATTATGGACATATTGACGAAGGAATATGTCTTGAAGAATCCTCCTCATTTCGCCGAAGTTGCCACGCTTGCCGTGGGCGTTTACATCTGCGGCAAACGTTATGGTTATGCCATCCATTGGAGGCCATAAGATTTTACTGACTTTTCCAACAGTCGCCTTTTACGACACCCACGGGACGAAATGACGTGATTAGATTCTCTTACTCCCCACCACATGTCAAAAGATGCAAAAATAAAATCAAAGCTATAGTTGAAAATGAATTTATTTAATTATATATTTTAGACAAGTATACTTAAACATAATATATTTATGGTTTTTTAATAAGGAAAATTCCCCTTAGTGCTCAGGCGATATACACCAGTCCTAGAAAGAAAATATTATGACCATACATCTTAAAGTCTTTTTTATTCTTGTATTATATTTCCAATTAAATGTAAAATTAATTACATTTGAAGCGATATTTAAAACAAATATGTGCCCATTTTAATGGAGATCACTAATGATATTGATCATTCATCATTTGAGATTATTGTTGTATCGTAAATGACTAAGTGAAAACTAAATTGTTGATTCATAAAGTAAAGAAATCTATTAAATTTCCGTAATGATGACCGATTCGTCACGTTGCAAGGCAATTTTATACTAACATCAGTTATTTTCTTACCAAAAAAGATAAAATAAAAACATGAATAAAATCATCTACATAATATGAAACAGAATTTATTTTAAAACTCACCCACTCTTATGTAAATTGTCATTTCCTAATTTTGTAGTGTTTCCTCTACAATTATCCAGGATTAATTGTAAGTTAGTAGAGCATTTTCTAGCCGTGAGATGGTCAAAAAGAATTGAAGCAGCAAACAGTCTCCATGAACGGTTGTGATTGCATGTATTTGTGTCACATCCTGGTTGTGATATCCCTCCGTTAGGATAAAAGTCAGCTGCAGCTACAGGTTCTATTAAACCATATATACCGCCATTGGTATGAATAGCTTCAACATAAATTGCATCAGACTCTCTCAAGCGTCGACTGTTTATATTCCACAAAGGTCCAGCAGGATCTAAGCCTAAATTTATTGTATATTTATTAAGTGAACTTAATACTTAACTGTCATGTGATCTTCCAAACATAATTATGTCTTCTAAAAATCTGACAATCACCTGTTATACGGCCTAACTGACCATGGAGTGTTCTACCTGCATTTCCCACTACATGAGCTCCCAAGCTATGGCCCATTAAGTGCATAGTCTTGAAAGAAGTGCCAGTCACAAGACTCAAAAAAGCCAAGAACTGTCCCAAACGCTGACCTACACGTGGCACTCCTACCACAGCAGTGACGTAATCCTTATCAGCAATGACGCTCCAGTCCAAAACTATGACATTGTGATCGGCTTTTGTAAGTAATGCTAAAATCATTGAAACCTATTGGAGACGACTAAAGAAAAAAACAATGTATAGTATCTCAACTATATTTTGATATAAATAAGTATGAAAAACTAGCATATCAAACCAGTTCACTTGATGGTAAGTGAAGAATACGATCTTTACTTATCCTCAAGTAAGTTCATTTATACCTGAACCTCATTAACTGTAAAAAAGGACTACGGTTCTCTTCACTTACCCTAGGAAACACAAGAGCATTATTGCTATTTTACGGTGTTATTCTGTGAAAACGTGACTTTTCCCCAGTCACCAACTAATTAGTGCTGCAGCCCTATCACGTAAAAATGCCATTCGTTGATGGCCGTAATACATCATCGCGAGAGTGTCGATCAACTCTGCAGATGTCAGGGTATTATTTGATATAGACCTAAAATATCCGGACCAGTGACGGTAAGGAGCATCTTAAATGCGAGGTCTTAAAGCATTTGAGATGTAGACCAGAACTGGATTATTATAAATGTCTAGTGTGATCGAACATTTGCCTGCTCATTTATAGGTGCCCCAAGGAAATCCTGCAAACTTAGGATAGACCTACGTCCATATTTACAAGATAATGAAGAGGACGATAACGAAAATCATAACTTAAACAATTTACTTGTGTTTTGCACAAAGTTTTGGTTCCGTATAATTGTGCCGTTTGCTCGTCAATTTTTTTTGCATTTATTAAGAATTTCTCCTGTATCGTAAAGGTATTTAATATACACAAAATGCATAAAACAATAATTATTTGTTGATTACACAAAATACTTTTGCTTGCGAGGTGCGTACCCTCGTCCCGTGGCGCCTCAGATAAAAGCTTAGCTACTACGCTGCTGAGCTGAATTGAAGGAATAATTTATAAAAAATTCTGTTGTTAATAAAATACAACTGTCCTAATAATGAGTAGTCTCCTCTATACTCAAGGACTATCAATAAAACCATAAGATTACTTTATTTTATGTTACCGTTCCGTAATGCCATATTGATAGGAGAGTTGCGATTTTGAGTCCAACCGTGAACAATTACAGCTGTAGGGTTATTTACTTTAAAGTGTGAACTGGTAATAGACTGTACATCATTCATTTTGAGAGTATCAGGAGACAAAATGTTTCGTCTGAAATAGATCAAAGGGAAGCGTAATAGTTAATAATAGTTAAAAATGTTTATAAACTAACTAGATAATGATTTCTTATATTTACACGAGCACTACACACTGATAAAAACTACTTTTACGGATTTTATCGCGTTTGATTTTAAATTATTTCTGATTCTCAACGTTTCGGGTGCTTTCTAGCACCCATAGTCACGGGGGACTGAGGTGAATGACGTCCCGATATCAATGTTAACCCGGAGTACCTTCAGCTTTTTATTTGTTATTTATGGCCTGATCTACGCAGAATGAACTGTGTCTTGAAGTCTTGCAGTGGTATGCTTGGGTTTAGTTTGAATTTTATGAAACAGGGTCCCAAGCAGGTGGTAGTACCCAGCCACCTTCTCTATTGAAATAAGTATGTTTTTTTTTTAATTTCAATGACCTCACGTATCATCCTTGGTAGGAATCGATATTCTTTCGCAAGGATTTGTGGTCTATCAAATCTGATGTAATGGTTGGGGCCCCTAGGATATGATCACAAAATTCAGACTTCCCCGAACGTTGATGCTTCACATCAGCTATATGTTGTATGAATTAAAAATAATATAAAATTAAACGCAGTAAAATCCATACAAATAGTTTTAATCAACTAACTAGATAGTTACGGACGGTGGTACTGATATTCTGACTAGGGGTTCATTTGGATAGTTCTCACCGATTTTTGTCACCAAACAGCATAGTGTTCACTGCTGTGTCCGCTCTGAAGGTTACAATTTCAGGCTCAGAGGCATTCCATCTGAGTTTCATTAGCCTTCTATAATTGGAGTTTTACGTAGGTGTCCACGGGCTGCTATATATTTGTCATAGTTGCCACGCCTGGTAGGCAAGTCTTCAACTGCAGTTTTTTTTTCGTTGTTGTTTATAAGACACTGCTGCTCATCTCTTGGCTTTCTTCTCTCCTTCACCTTTTACGACAACTACAGGACGATATAGTGAATTGGATATTCTTTCATCGCCACTACTCCGTCATACAGGTAAATAAAGTATGAATCCAAAGCGTGATCCTTTACTCCTGGCCATACAAGGAACCTTAAAGTCACTCCGCAAGCTATAGAGAGGGCTGTGCTTGTACTACTATACGTGACAGAATCCGTAACGAATGTTCTCGAGTGGCAGCCTCGTACGCGAATGGCACTAGGTGTAGTAACGACCAGTTAAGACTAAATTTGATGGATGCAGATAGCCCAGGATGGCATGTTAGGGGATTCTTTATAGTTGTCCTATGTACAGCAATGACTGTGATGAACTCACAAAATACTAATTGAATCCACAACCAATAAAAACTCGTCAGACGAAGGAACCACAAAATTTTTCTTATTAAACATGGAAATAAGGCCCAAAAAAAAATATTTGGCAAAACCTTATTTTATTTTTTTCTCAATTAATTGATTAGTTATTAGAACGACCCCGCCACCAATCTCCTGATTTATTTCCCACCCCACTACCCCGTATCCTACGTAGGATACGGGGGATATTCTTACTAAAAAGTTTAAAACCTAAAAAAAGAAAAGTCAATTTAAAGTCTATTTAACTAATTGGTACTTACCGTGTATATAATAAATATTCATTGGTAGAATGGTTGATATTGCTGAGTAATAATTTAGATGCTTGACTTATTTTTGCATCAATATCAATTTTATGTACAACCCCTTCTTTGTCAGGAAATTCTATAAAACGCGATGTATTTTTTTCATTCTCTTTAAGCAAAGTTTCTTTATTTTCAAATGCTGAAAAAGGAAGTATCGTACAATTATAGATGCACCATCCGGTCGCTAGCCGTGAATACCGATGAATCTCTAAAAGCCTTCTGGCTAACGTAACAAAAATTACCTAAAAATAAAACGCCTTCTTTACGTTCATATATACCTACGCATACATGCTTGTCGGTTAACTCTACAAAGCATACTTTGCATAATAATACTTACAGAGTAATAAATCTATTGGTAACCAAGTTTTCCGAATAAAACCATTATGTATAGTGTACCAATACAGAGAGAAAACACTAAATTATCTATTTGATTACACGCAGTGATCATAATGCCGCGATAGCTAGCGACATGCTGTTATTAATATCTTCATCATTTTGTGTGATACGATTTACTGTAGAGACAATGAATATCAGGTCGTTCCAAGTAGACTAACAACAGTCTCTACGAGACAAAGGCCTTCCATCACACCAGATGTTCATCGCTCCTGAATAACTCACAAGTAAATCGCACCGCATACGTGCAATGCGACCAAATAGTTATAAAATGTGACGAAGAGTATGAACATTTGAAAATACCCCCGACAATTTCTTCAATACTTAATTCTACTTCAACTAAATCAATTCAAAGGTAACTTTACATATTTTCACAAAATAGATAATATAAATTAACATTAACATTTTAATCTTTCGTTACGCAACTAATATATTACAAATGTACTACACTTCATTATATTTTTACAAGCATTCATCTCTATGTTCAGTCATACTCGTTACATCTCAACAGTGACTAAACTAGACCTCTACCAACACCGCACGCGCACCGTACCCACTCTTTGAGCTACGGCTACGGTATGGCTGTTGAAATATTCAAAACGCAATATAAAATGAAATAAGCAACTCTACAATTATCAAAAAAATATCTAAAAGTTTTATACGTGGTAGAGCCATGCTGTAGCTATATTAGTAGTATAATTGTGGCACGAATGGGTTAGCTCGACAGGTTAAGGACCACGCTCTCACAGAATACCAGCGTGAAATAGTAGCTTAATGCTGCTGTGTTTCGTATGGTGAGTGTATAGAACCAGAGACCCTTTTTACTGGAAACGAGACATTCCATCTTAGTCCTCACGTTTTGCAAAGCATGTGAATTTTGATTTGTAATCGAGGATAGATGTAGATGTCTATGGGCCGCATCAATCACTTACCATTAGGTGGAATGTGTGTACGTTTGTCACCCAATCCTATTAAAAATAAAACAATTTAACACGGTCATTTATGACCCAAATAGACTCAGGTTAGTTATTTGAAATAAGCTTTGTTCACTTCACTTGTTGCTACAAAATAAAAAAAATACAAAATTTTTCGAAGCAATATTTAAGACAAGTGAGGCCAGGTCCTTGTGCACTATACTTTACTATAGGCAAACAATATAATAGGTCTTTACATATTAAATTGGCGTTTTGTACGTTAGGAATATAAAGTCATTTTTTTTTTTGTAAAATATATTTAATTAAACAAAGTATGCACCGTTGTTATCTATGCAATACATTCATCTTTTGAATAGGTCAAATGCCATTGTTGTATGAGAATGCTATTTTTATTAATATTTGTATGAACATATTACAATAAAAATACTTTTTTTATAAAACAATGGTAATTCATTAAAAGTCACGAGGTAAAAAACTGTAAAAACAATTAGTCTCAATTTACATTGCGGCGGAATGGAATGGAACGGAGGCGTCAATATCGCCGCGACTCACGAGTAGATACCGACAGTAGCTACAGGAATCCTCGAGAATTTCCCGGAAGGCGCGTAACTTCTTTTTGGGCTCATATCTAGTTTGCGCGTTACCCAATTAACATAAGACTCATTTTACTATGTACAATTTCATTACAAAAATTCGCTTCCATTCCTTTCCGCAGCAGCGTAAATTGAGCCTTGAGTGGTAAAATAATCAGCGCTACTACTTCAAATTCGCGTCAAATCACCCCTGCCGCCTTGCTAGTGTTAAATATATATATATAAACATTGTACCTAGCGGCTCACCTGATGTTAAGTAACTACCGCCGCCCATGATCAACCGCAACACCAGGGGAATGCAGGTGCGTTGCCGGCCCTTTAGAAAGGAGTACGCTCTTTTCTTGAAGGTCCCCAGGTCGTATCGGTGCGGAAAAATCGCTGGTGGTAAACTATTCCACAGAGAGGTTGTACGCGGAAGAAAACTCCTCTTGAAACGTACAGTGGTGGACCGCCAAGCATCCAGATGGTGTGGATGGTATCGGAACGTTTGCCGTGTAGTGCGTTCACGAAATTTGGCGGCTGGGATTAATCCGACCAATCCTCAGAGCACTCTCCATGGTATATGCGAAGAACAAAGAAATCGACGATTCGAGCCGCTTTGCGCTGGATGCGGTCAAGTGGAAGGAGCTGGTACTGGGGAGCCCCAGCCCAGAGATGGGAATACTATTCCATGTGCGGCCGAACCTGCACCTTGTAAAGTTGCAGGCGGTGTGCCGGCATGAAATACTGACCCGCTCTGCTGAGCACGCCAAGCTTTTTTAGAGGCCAATTTGGCCTTCTCTTCCAAGTGACCACGAAACTGCACGTCACTCGATATATCAACGCTGAGGATTCCGATACCGGCTGAGGCAACAAGGGGAGTGCCTTGAAACTGAAAAGATACGACAAAGGGGTACTTTTTAGCGGTTAACGCGCAAACTTGTGTCTTCTGCCGATGATATTCAAATTTTATAAACATAGGATATGCGAGTATATTCGATAGAAGATTGGTTTCTTACGTAAATACAGATTAAGTACACAAAAACTAGTATTTACAATAATTTTTACTAATAATATAGCTGACTTTCTTAAATTCGCAATTATTAATACACCTTTACCTTTATCTAGAAATAAACTTTGAAATACTTTCCATGGGCCATTATGAACTAACTTAATGTATTTAATTTTAAGTTTAATATAAAAGTTATATTTGTAATATACTTAGGTACATTACTTACCTACATTGTAGGAATATAACCAGAACAAATAAATAATAGTATATTTCATGACATATGTCTGCATTTGTCCGGGTCCGCAGGTGGCCTTGGATGAGATTTATCACGACCGTGCGCGACACTTCTGGCGCTTGTACAAATAGCTTAGTTTTACTATCTTTTATATATATCCTTTTCGCTTTGTATTCAGCACTTGAAAACATTGCCCTATTTAAATCATATGCGCGGGAATGTCTGGCAAATTTTAAGTGTTCTTTTATCACTTGATTTATTACAATAATATTAACGCTATAAAATATTTACACTATTTTAGGTGGTTCAATTGTTATTACATTTAATCAAGTGAATACAGGCCATCATCTCTATCGACCCTAAATGTTTCTCCAAATAATAACTCCACCTAGTTTGGTGTGATAGTATCCTCATAAGGGTTTAATCACGCAGAAAATCATTATGTATGGTTATTTCAATAGGTCGCCGGAACATTGTGCTACCATTGGAACCACATACTGATTTAACTTTCTTAATATTTACTCCTAAGAGTATCAGGTAAACGGGAATAGAAAAGATGTTGCAATGTTTCGAACGTGGCAAGTTAAATCAGATTCATTGGATAATCTCTTCGTTGAAGCTGGAATAATCAAATTTTGTCCTGGGTATACAAATTCATCAAAAACAACTAGTTTAATGTTCTAAGCAACTACCTGTATATTGATGACATTCAGTTCAGACTTAATTTTGGTATGATCATATCCACCCTAAGACCTACTGATTGGAAATTACTATTTAGATTATTGAACATGTTACTAATTAGCTAGTGTTAAGGTCTTCTAACGATTTTGCCTTCTCAGTTTAAACATAGACAACCTATTTTTAGATGCACTTGGAATCGAAAGTCACCCAAATAGATATAAAGTTTTTCTTGAAACCAACAAAAGAATCGTGAAGTACACTTGTAAATTGAAAAGTTCAATACTGCGGTTATCAACCTAGCGTAGCGATTGCGAAATATTCTCCTCATCAAGAGGAGCGTATAATGCTTGAGTATCGTCACTAATTTGAACCTGTTGCATTAGTGCTACTACTTGTCACATTCAAGAGGAGCCTATAATGCTTGAGTATTGTCACTAATTTGAACCTGTTGCATTAGTGCTACTACTTGTCACATTCAAGAGGAGCCTATAATGCTTGAGTATCGTCACTAATTTGAACCTGTTGCATTAGTGCTACTACTTGTCACATTCAAGAGGAGCCTATAATGCTTGAGTATTGTCACTAATTTGAACCTGTTGCATTAGTGCTACTACTTGTCACATTCAAGAGGAGCCTATAATGCTTGAGTATCGTCACTAATTTGAACCTGTTGCATTAGTGCTACTACTTGTCACATTCAAGAGGAGCCTATAATGCTTGAGTATTGTCACTAATTTGAACCTGTTGCATTAGTGCTACTACTTGTCACATTCAAGAGGAGCCTATAATGCTTGAGTATTGTCACTAATTTGAACCTGTTGCATTAGTGCTACTACTTGTCACATTCAAGAGGAGCCTATAATGCTTGAGTATTGTCACTAATTTGAACCTGTTGCATTAGTGCTACTACTTGTCACATTCAAGAGGAGCCCATAATGCTTGAGTATTGTCACTAATTTGAACCTGTTGCATTAGTGCTACTACTTGTCACATTCAAGAGGAGCCTATAATGCTTGAGTATTGTCACTAATTTGAACCTGTTGCATTAGTGCTACTACTTGTCACATTCAAGAGGAGCCTATAATGCTTGAGTATTGTCACTAATTTGAACCTGTTGCATTAGTGCTACTACTTGTCACATTCAAGAGGAGCCTATAATGCTTGAGTATTGTCACTAATTTGAACCTGTTGCATTAGTGCTACTACTTGTCACATTCAAGAGGAGCCTATAATGCTTGAGTATTGTCACTAATTTGAACCTGTTGCATTAGTGCTACTACTTGTCACATTCAAGAGGAGCCTATAATGCTTGAGTATTGTCACTAATTTGAACCTGTTGCATTAGTGCTACTACTTGTCACATTCAAGAGGAGCCTATAATGCTTGAGTATTGTCACTAATTTGAACCTGTTGCATTAGTGCTACTACTTGTCACATTCAAGAGGAGCCTATAATGCTTGAGTATTGTCACTAATTTGAACCTGTTGCATTAGTGCTACTACTTGTCACATTCAAGAGGAGCCTATAATGCTTGAGTATTGTCACTAATTTGAACCTGTTGCATTAGTGCTACTACTTGTCACATTCAAGAGGAGCCTATAATGCTTGGAGTATTGTCACTAATTTGAACCTGTTGCATTAGTGCTACTACTTGTCACATTCAAGAGGAGCCTATAATGCTTGAGTATTGTCACTAATTTGAACCTGTTGCATTAGTGCTACTACTTGTCACATTCAAGAGGAGCCTATAATGCTTGAGTATTGTCACTAATTTGAACCTGTTGCATTAGTGCTACTACTTGTCACATTCAAGAGGAGCCTATAATGCTTGAGTATTGTCACTAATTTGAACCTGTTGCATTAGTGCTACTACTTGTCACATTCAAGAAGCCTATAATTGAGTATTCTAATTTGAACCTATTGCATTAATGCTACTACTTATCACATTTTTAATATGACGGTGCGACAAAGACAGTTTTTAAATATTTCCTTTCCAGGTTACAACAGATTTTTGTAAGATTGTGGTGCAGAACTATAGGTAGGTAAATATATTTACGTAATTTCTAATTTCTCTCTGGAAGGTTGACATTGATAGTTACTGACTAAATTCCTGCGATTTGTTTTATGTATAAAATATTTCATTTTATTTCAAAAACTAATGTATTTTGTCATACAAATATTAAAGCTTTTTAACTATAGTATACTATGCTAAACACTAACTAATAGATATACTAAAAATAATATAACTTAAGTATAATGAATGGCAAATAATTGAAACCGCTATCATCAGTTGCACCCGTGCTAGCTTTTTTTCGCTGATTGTTTTGCTACAACGGTAAATCGAAATCTCTTTATGTCTATTTTTTTATTTAGTTAATCCGATTTTCTATTGCATTAGCTATTTGAATGGAAATAATTAAGTCTCAAAAAGTAAAATAAAATACATACACACTATATTTAAATGAGTTCCATATTGAATATTAATGGAATACTTGCATTATCTTACCACTACAGCTAGATACATCTATCTTATGTATACTATTTTATAACTCTATTGTACGTGACTTTCTATATGTCCTCTGTCAACTCTATCACATAAAGTCTACTACATTGTTATTATAAACACGTATGGAAATCATAACAAATAGCCGTGCTGTGCAGCAAATATATTAATACGTTAATAACTTTAACAGGAAATATGCATATTATGGCGTTCTTTTATTTAATAGTACGAGAGCGAGAAATCGTTTACAATACATTCTCACCCATAGCGAACCTCAGGAATGTCTAGAGAGATCATGGTACCCTTAATTAACAGAAACCCACACTATATATAGTTGCTAGCAGGTTATCAACGAAGAACTAATATTCTCAGCGAAAGTAAAAAATGGAAAAACTGAAAGTAGTGCTAAGTTGTTTTGAACCGATTTTTTTTTTCAAAAAACATCTAACATAATCTTAAAAGAGCATAACCTAATATTGCCAGTTAATTAAAACAAACCGCTGACTAATAACGATGTTTGTTTAACAGGTTTTTATCATAGGTTGATTTTACGAAAATTAAGGATTGATGTTTTTCAACATTCGAAGGCGTGTCGGTAACATGCCACCGATGTTTGTTTTACCACCAAGAAAAATTAACTCTTTCATATTAATCAAATGTCGACGAATGTGCACAACCGGCCTTCGTAGCTTGCAAGGAAAGTGCGTGAAGATGCGAATTCCAGCGCGACGGTCGCCCGCCCTAATTTTCTCGAAACCTACGTAACCACGACACTTCACCTTTAAGGTCCTCTTATAGTAAGGTGTGTAGGTATGAAAACGTTACCTCACTTGTACAATTTTCGGGGGTATTTTTATTATATTGGGTAGAATTTTAGAAAAAATAACGTACTTCTAAGATATCTCATCTGACACTGGCCGATGCAAAAGCAAACGCTCGAATTACTATTATACTTTATTATAGTATTATACTTTAATGGTAATCAAAAAAATACATTGAAAAATATACTTATTCTTTTTAATTTTGTCAGTTATAATCTCGTACTAGATATAATGTTTTCGAGAGTCATTAAGAATCGTCTTGCACGCAGACTCGACGACTTCCAGCCTCCTGAACAAGCCGGTGACCGAAAAGGCTTCAGTACCATAGACCACATACATATCCTGCGGCAGATTGTACAGAAGACCGAAGAGTACAATCTGCCACTTTGCCTGGCGTATGTAGACTATGAGAAAGCCTTTGATTCCGTCGAAATTTGGGCAGTGCTACATTCCCTTCAGCGGTGCTAAGTTGACTGTCGGTATATCGAAGTGCTGAAGTGTTTGTACAGTAGGGAAACGATGGCTATCCGAGTACAGAACCAGAGTTCGAAACCTATCCAACTGCAGAGAGGTGTAAGACAGGGTGACGTTATATCCCCGAAACTCTTCACCGCTGCGTTGGAAGACGTTTTCAAGCTACTGGACTGGAACTATGTTAGCCTTAGCACTATGCTCAATGACCTCAATGGTGTCTCCCAACGGATAGCTCTTAAGATGAATGAACATGGACAAAACAAAGATCATGTTTAATGTACATGCCACACCTATGCCGGTAGTTGTTGGGAACACTGTGATCGAAGTTGTTGACAAGTACGTTTACCTGAGACAAATAGTCCGAGTAGGTAAATCTAACTTCGATCGAGAGGTCAACCGACGAATTCAACTCGGTTGGGCAGCGTTCGGGAAATTACGACACATCTTCTCTTCGACTTACGGATCTGAGACGTGGTCCTTCACTGCTGGCCGTATGAGGACGCTCAAGGTCGCTCAGCGAGCTATGGAGAGGGCTATGCTCGGAGTTTCTCTGCGTGATAG